TCTATTTTGTGCATCTGCTCTGTGAATTGTTCAACCGTTGTTTCTGGCGGTTTATATATTAGGATAATAATTATTTTTATTTTTCTACCTTAATTCCAAGTACCTCTACCACCTCATTAGTTGAGTTTAGTAGCTCTGTGCATACCAGGTCCTGTTCTAACGACACCTGAGGGCCACACCGTGAAGACCACACCTGAGGGCCACATCATGAAGACCACACCTAAGGGCCACACCTGAGGGCCATTAGTATTAGCCAGCCACCACAAAGTCAGCACAGGTGTACATAACAACATATGTCATTCCCCCGAGCATCTGTTAAATATTAACGTGACCTCATATACGCCCCCTACACCTGTACCAGGCCCCCTACACCTGTACCAGGCCCCCCTACACCTGTACCAGGCCCCCTACACCTGTACCAGGCCCCCCTACACCTGTACCAGGCCCCCCTACACCTGTACCAGATCCCCTACACCTGTACCAGGCCCCCTACACCTGTACCAAGCCCCCTACACCTGTACCAGGCCCCCTACACCTGTACCAAGCCCCCCTACACCTGTACCAGGCCCCCCTACACCTGTACCAGGTCCCCTACACCTGTACCAGGCCCCCCTACACCTGTACCAGGTCCCCTACACCTGTACCAGGCCCCCTACACCTGTACATGAAAGTACATGTTGATATATATATATATATATATATATATATATATATATATATATATATATAGGGTCCCCCTTCTTCCAGCTAGAGGTGGTACTCCCTCCTATATATTTTTATTTATATTATCTAAAAAATATATATATATATATATATATATATATATATATATATATATATATATATATATATATATATATATATATATATATATATATATATATATATATATATATATATATATATATATATATATATATATATATATATATATATATATACACAAAGGAGCAGTATACTACTGACTAGAAAGTGTTGAGAGTGCAGTACTTAACAGTAAGTGAGGGGAGGGTTGGCACCGCGGGCCCAGCCCTCCCACCCGTCAAGTAGGACTGGTAAACAGTGTTCCAATACTTGTCCCCAGAACCACCGCTCAGGCTTTGACCCTTCACCCACTAACAAAGGTTTACCTTCCTGTTACCTTGAGATGATTTCGGGGCTTAACGTCCCCACGGCCCGGTCCTCGACCAGGCCACCTGGTTGCTGGACTGGTCAACCAGGCTGTTGGACGCGGCTGCTCGCAGCCTGACGTATGAATCACAGCCTGGTTGATCACGTACCCGCAGGTAATGGGGATAGTCCAGATTTGAACAATTAGTAATTTGACTTTGATGGCAAGTGTGGCTCGGGGTCGACGACGATTGGGCTTCTGTTAAAGGGTACAGCTCGTGTTCGAAAGTATGGCTCGTGTTCGAAAGTATGGCTGGTGTTCGAGAGTATGGCTCGTGTTTGAAAGTATGGCTCGTGTTCGAAAGTATGGCTCGTGTTCGAAAGTAAGGCTCGTGTTCGAAAGTATGGCTCGTGTTCGAATGTCTGGCTCGTGTTCGAAAGTATGGCGCGTGTTCGAAAGTATGGCTCGTGTTCGAAAGTATGGCTGGTGTTCGAGAGTATGGCTCGTGTTTGAAAGTATGGCTCGTGTTCGAATGTCTGGCTCGTGTTCGAAAGTATGGCTCGTGTTCGAAAGTATGGCTCGTGTTCGAAAGTATGGCTCGTGTTCGAAAGTATGGCTCGTGTTCGAAAGTATGGCTCGTGTTCGAAAGTATGGCTGGTGTTCGAAGCCCTGACTGAGACGTATGTCATTCGCGTCCAGACATTACTATAAAAACTTCCTAAATCAGCTAAATCAAAGCACCTTACCTAACCTTACCTAGGCCTAACAACATAGGCCTCAAAAACAAAAGTTTATTTGTATTTAAGAACAACAAAATATCGTGAACGTATTAAATATTACAAAAAATACAAAATATTAAAACCCAAAAAGTGACCAAAAAGCCCTTTATAAAAATGTAATGAAAGTCAAAATATTTGATCTTAACTGATAGAAAATACGAAGCAAAAGATACCTGGTTGATGGGGTTCTGGGAGTTGTTCTACTCCCCAAGCCCGGCCCGAGGCCAGGCTTGACTTGTGAGAGTTTGGTCCACCAGGCTGTTGCTTGGAGCGGCCCGCAGGCCCACATACCCACCACAGCCCGGTTGGTCCGGCACTCCTTGGAGGAAACAATCTAGTTTCCTCTTGAAAATGATTCCTGGATACCTCCAGGAAGCCAGTAAACAGCCTCAAGTTGGACAAGCTGAACCAGTTCCTGGTGACCGTTAATCATGGTTCACACTGAACAAGGCAATCTGATCCCAATGGTCACTGATGAGGCCATGACACGAGGGTGGGAGACTGCTCCTCCCAGTGCCACACTGGCCCTCCCAGTGCCACACTGGTCCTCCCAGTGCCACACTGGCCCTCCCAGTGCCACACTGGCCCTCCCAGTGCCACACTGGTCCTCCCAGTGCCATACTGGTCCTCCCAGTGCCACACTGGCTCTCCAAGTGCCACACTGGTCCTCCCAGTGCCATACTGGTCCTCCCAGTGCCACACTGGCTATCCCAGTGCCACACTGGTCCTCCCAGTGCCACACTGACCCTCCC